CCCTCTCTCTCTCTCTCTGTCTGTCTGTCTCCCCCACCCGCACCTTCTTTAAGCTTCAGAACCCCAGTTTCTCAGAACAGAAGGCAGCCATGTGGTGCTCACATCCAATTAATAAGGCCCAGGCACAGCTGACGTCCTGGGAGTGGGCCGGCGAGCCTGGAGCAGGACATGTACATTGACTGGCGTTTCCCAGGAGAAACTGCTCTCTTTCCCCTGGAGCCTTGGCTGTCTCTTTGCTGCCCCAGCCCTAGCCTGGTGGGCACTGACATCAGCTCATTCCCAGAGAGTGACCACTGGGCAGTCTCACCAAAGCTGCCCTGAGTCAGCTGGCCTGGGAGCCTGTCTCTGAGGCTTGGGGTGCTGTGAAGATCAGGGAGGGCCTGGCATCTCTCTGCAAACAGCACAGACAGCCATTCCTCCTGCAATTAGAGAGCTTTAGGACAGATGTCAGCCGTACTCTATGCTGGAGGAGTCAGGACTTCTGTGTTCTGTGGTTCCTCAGAAAGAGCGAAGAACTAGCTACACTGGGGATGGGCCCAGAGCCACCTGAAAGTGGAGATGTGTCAGGTGTGGGGAGGTAGCAGCTGAACTGTAGGATTCCTCTGGAGAGTATGGACCCCATTTCCAGACCGCTGCTCCTGCAGAGATGGGCTGCTGCCTGTGGTCGGCAGCCCATGTCCTCTCGTGCCTCATGGAGCTGCAGAGCCACAAGGTGACTCACTCACTGGTTCCTTCTCCAAGTGTTGACTGGGCGTCTGCCCTGTCTGATGCTGTGCCAGGTCTGTGGTCCCTGCCCTCCTGGTGCATCCAGGCAGACCCTTTTCCGAGAATCACCCAGAACATGTAGGCCTCAGGGGCTTATGATAAGAGCCCCAACCTCTTTTGGGGAGTCAGGAGTGGTGCTGAGATCTGAGGGGTGAGTCAGGTTAACTGGGGAGTCAGGTTGGGTTCGAGTGTACTTGAAGTGAGAGCTGCCCCTATAAAAGGCCCTGGGGGAGAGGTGGTGTGACAGGTGCCAGAGTGAGGGTGTGTTGGGGGACGAGGCCAAGGGCAGACAGGGCAGGGACAGATCCTGTAGAGCCGTGACGTCATGGGGAAGGGATTTAGTGTTTATCATCAGAAACGCCACGTTGTGAAGGGTTTGGCGCTGGGCATCACTGTCTGCCCGCAGAGGACTGGAGGAAGCAGGTTGGGAGCGCGAGGCAGTGGGCTGAAGTGCAGTGCGGAGCAGGCACGTGGCGCAGCGCTGGGCGCGCAGGGATGATTTGGAGGGGGAGCTGGCAGGACTCAGGGCTAAGGTTAGAAGAGGACTTTCATATCCCTGTTAGCCTTTTCTGCTCTGGGATGCTGCCCCTGCCCCTCCCCTGCTTCCTCCGCCTGCCCCAGCGGGCCCCAAGGCCATCAGGTGGGTCACTGAGGCCCCCGATCTTTTCCAGGGCCTCCCTGTTGCCTTCTCTGTCCCCTACATGCTTCATTCTCCCCTGGAGTTAGGGCAGAGACTTTTTCTTTCTTCTTGCAGGTACATATAGTACAGCCCATATGGGACATTTCCACCTGTGCTGACCCGCCACCTCTGCATTGTCTTCCTCTGACATTTGAAACAAGCTGCTAACTTGTCAGGGTTTAGGTGTTTCCTTTCCTACCTGTGGCAGCCTGGCAGGATTGGTTCCCACCATATTCTGCTGATAGGGCTGAGTTTTTGTACTTTATAGACACAGGCCCAGTATATAACTTCCTGCCCAAACGTTCCGCAAGTCCTCAGGCCCTCAGCATAAAGGCCACCCTCCTTGGAGGGACGCCCAGGGCTCCGTGTGCTCTGTGCCCTGTCGACCAGCACAACCCACCATTCTTCAAACACGAGGTGGGCCCAGGCCTGTTGTTGTGACCCTCAGTGTGTGGAGCCTACACCCATGTCCACTTGGACAGCTCCCACTTGCCCCTCAAGACTCAGGGAAATGCCATCCTCTTCTGTCCCTTGTCCCTGACTCCTCTGAGGGTGCGGGTCTGTAGTGGTGGCAACGCTGCTCATGCGGCTGGTCTAGCTCGTGTGCAGAGGGGTAGGTGGTGCAGTGATAACATATTGAAGCTCACTGTCGGGTGTGCTCTGTGTGCCGGACTGGCTGCATGTTCAACTTGCGTTGAGTCCCCAACAGTCCAGAGAGGTTGTGTCATCTCCATGTGAGAGATGATGACAGTGGGTCTTGAGGAGGCTAAGAGCCAGCCCAAGATCATTCAGCTCTCTGTGGTGAGGCAGAAATTTGAACCCAGACTGTCTGCCTCTACACTACGCTGCTGGACTAAATGTGTCATGCTACTCAGGAATTACTCAGTTAATTTTTACCCTCCTGCTAGACCCTGAGCTCCTTGAGGGCGGGAACCACGTCTCCATCTTGGCTTTTTCAGCAGCTGGCACATTGCACAGTTCTGATGAGTGGATGGGTGGACAGATGGGTGGACAGGGGAGCGTGTGTGAAGCCATGAACCCCACTGACCTCCCATGAAAGGCCATTAAGGCCCAAGGGGATGAAGAAAGAGGGTGTGAACTGACAGGTCAGCCACGTGCCCTCGCATCTGAAGGGCAGAGCTGACTGCTCTCTGTGTCCTGTCTTCCCCACCCACCTGGCACCTGGCAGATGTTTGCTGAGGAGGAGGCCGAGCTGACCCAGCAGACGTCCCCAGAGAAGCTGCAGCAGTACAGCCAGGTGCACCTCCTGCCAGGCCTGCGAGAACAGGGCTGGTGCGAGATCACTGCCCACCTCCTGGAGCTGCCTGAGCATGACGCCCGCGAAAAGGTGCTGCAGACACTGGGGGCCCTCCTGGCCACCTGCCGGGACCACTACCATAAGGACCCCCAGCTCAGCAAGATGCTGGCCAGCCTACAGGCCGAATACCAGGCGCTGGCCGCCCTGGAGCTTCAAGATGGTGAGGATGATGGCTACTTCCAGGAACTGCTGGGCTCTGTCAACAGCTTGCTGAAGGAGCTGAGATGAGGCTGCTCCCAACATCAGGACTGGACTGGAACGCTAGTAAGGCCGAGAGGCACCAGCTTGGGTGGGTTCTGCAGGGGACAGCAGGCAGGAGGGAGACTTCCTACGGGGCCTTGGCATCATCAGGGCAGTGCTGGCTTGGCCATTAAATGGAGGCACAAAGGCCACTGTCTGTCTGTCTACTGTGTGTCTGTGCAGACTGGGCAGTCCTGTGGCGGTTAGGTGGGTCGTTGGGTGATAAGCTTCTAAGGCCCCTGGTGACATGCTGCATGGTCAGCCCAGGGCATCCAGTACCAGGCCTCACAGGAATGGGCTGGGTACAGGAGTTGGAAAAACACCCAGTAAGCTCTGTGACCTTGGGAAGTCACTTAATTTCCTGAGCCTGTTTCCTCATCTGTCAAAGGGGAGTGCCATTAAATGAGAGAAGAAGTGCATGAAGGACTACCAGTGCCTGGCACATGTGCTTGCCCGACCCTCCATCCCACTAAGGGGGGAGGTCTGGGATTATCTCACTCTGCCCCCTCTACCTTGTGCTGAAGTAATAGCTTCGAGGCCACTGGCCTGGCAGAAGCCTGAGGGCATTACCACATGCAGTGATGCGCTGGAGTGCTTGGTGCTGGGGCCTGGGTGGTAGAAGGACGCTGGGGATGGCTCGTTACATTCTGGAGGCCCTTGGATGTAGGCTCCCTTGGGGAGAGGAGTGACCTGGCTATAGCTGGCAGTGGGAGCCCACGCCTGCCTCTCTGTGGCCTTGCTTCTCTGCTGTGTCCATGCTGAGCTGGGCAGAGCCCGAGGAGGAGGACTTGGAGGCGGGGGCAGCCGAGCCTGGCAAGTCCCGGTGCCCACCCCAGAGAGACTGGGAGCCTGCTGCAGGTTGCCACGGCAACCCCGGCTCTGGGCCTTTCTGATTTGGATTCTGGTGCGTTTGTTTATCAGCCTTTCCCAATGCACCAGAGGCTCACTACTGCTGCTCAGGCAGCCCCTCCCAGCCTCCATGTAGAAATCTCCTCATGCTGGCCTTGCGTGTAGATATCTCAGCTTCACTGAACTCAGGCGAAACTGGGGCCAAAGAAACATGGGATGTAGCGAGTAGTTTACTTCCCTGCAGTCCCTTTGCTCAGCCGCAGAACCTGTCCTGCCCACGTCATGTCGCAGCACATAGGAAGCTTGGGAGAGAGCTGTTGTCTGCACAGAGCCCCTCCAGGAGGGCAGGAGGAAGCAGGAACCTGTATCACTGGGGTAGGAAGTCTCAGGGCTCGGGCAGTGGGGATCACACCTAAAGTCTGTCAAGTACGGGGTACTGCCTCACTGTCTTTAAAATCTCTCAGTAGCCTTCAAAGTACACTTTACAAATGAGAAAATCATGGCTCAGAAAGGCTAAGTGATCCACATGAGGCCACACAGCTTTTGAGTGTCAGAGCTAGGATTTGCTGGGCTGACCATGCTGTGGAAGCTTGAATGTGTGGCTCAGAAAGGGATGGTGTTTAACCTGACGGCCAAGAGAGATGGCAGAGCAGAGCAGGGCTCAGAAAGGAGTTGCTGGGGCCTGGCTCAGGCCAAGGTCAACAGTCACTTTATTTTATTTATTTATTTATTTATTTATTTATTTATTTATTTATTTATTTATTTTTAAAGATTTTATTGGGGAATTGGGGAAGGGGAGCAGCATTGGGAAATTGGAGAAAGGGAACAGACAAGTTGCTGTCCTTTTGTTCTTCAGTCTAGTTGTGGAGGACGTTGCTTCACTGGCCCATGTTGGTATTGTCATTGCGCTCTTCCCGGGTGAGGCAGATCAGTCGCTGGTCACTGGACGGCCGCTCACACCGGCTCTTGGCAGCTCATGCCGGCTGCCAGCCACTCATGCTTACGGCAGCCCACTGCAGCCCCACTGCAGCCTATGCCGTCGTCGCCTCACGGCAGCCCAGCTCCAAGTCGAGCCGTTGTTCACCATCTTACCTGTAGAGAGCGCAGCGTCACTGGCCCTCATGTGGGATCTGAACCGGGGCCCTGCTGCTCAGAGCTGGCGTCCCAAGCCAACTGTTTTTGTTGTTGTTGTTGTTTTTTTAAGATTTTTTTATTGGGGAATTGGGGGGATGGGAACAGTGCTGGGGGATTGGGGAAGGGGAACAGACAAGTTGCTGTTGTTTTGTTCTTCA